AGATTCCATTATAACTTCACATAGTTAATGAAAATTGTTCCACTTTGTAACAACTGCTTCACTAAATTATGTTTTAATTGTATATGTTTAATCTTTCCATTGTAGTTATTGTTTTTAGCTATAACTATTTTCGATTGACAATCACAGTGTATTAACATAGAAGGGGTTGGTTTCATCCCTAATGGAATATTTTTTAAGAATTTTTTCATTCATTCAACTTCAATACCAGTTATTTCAAGAGCAACAAACTTTGATTTCATTGTTGATCTTGCCATAATTTTTTCCTGGCTGATCTCGATATAATTGCACCACCCGGAGTGTGAATACATAACTACTAGTGAATTTTGTCTCATCTGAATCAAAAATCCAATTAACATCATTGTATCCTTCTAGTAAAGCGAGAAATCCACTATATTCAATGACATAATCCATTGAACCTCTTAAGTATCTCATAAGCCTTATAAGTGCATTCTAATGTTCCTGATTAGGACATTGAGTGTACCTACTCAGTCTACCTACTACATAAGTAATGTCAGGTATAAAAAAACTCATTAAATGCAATAAGCTCCCAATTATTTGAGCATACTTAGTTTGAGAGATTGAGTCTCCTCTGTTTTTCTTTAATTTAGAGTTAGCATCATAAGGGGTACTCACTGGTTTGAAGTCATAATACCCAAACTTCCTAATAAGTTTCTCAATGTATTATTCTTGAGATAGTAAAATATTATCTCCCTTCTTATGATTCTAACTCCCAAAATCACATTGACTTCATACATGTCTTTCATTTCAAATTTGGATCCAAAAAACAACTTGGTTCTAGAGACTATGTGAATGCATGTATCAAATATTAGCATGTCATCTACATATAAACATATAATGACATATTCACCATTTTCAAATTTAGAGTATACACATTTATCAGCATCATTAGTTGAAAAGCCATCACAAAGTAGAATACTATTAAGTTTTTCATGCCACTGTTTTGGTGCCTGTTTTAATCCATACAAAGATTGTAAAAGTTTGTATACTTTGTTATCTTGATAAGGAATAACACACTCTTCAGGTTGAGTCATATAAACTTTCTCCTCTAATTCACCATTCAAAAAGGTTATCTTCACATCTATTTGGTGTATAACTCACTTATGGATAGCTACTAGAGCTAACAAAACTCGAATGGAGGAAATCCTAGTTACATGGGCAAAGGTATCAAAATAATTAACTTTGGGTTTATGATAAAACCCTTTGCTACTAATCTTGCCTTATATTTTTATTTATGGATCCATCAGGATGATACTTTTACTTGAAGATCCACTTACAACCAATAGGTTTTGCTCCTTTGGGAAAATCTATTAAAGTCCAAGTATTATTTTTCTTAATTGAGTCAATTTCAGTCCTAATGACCTTATCCGAATGTGTTGCATTAGAAACACTAGATGCTTCTGAAAAGCTCGTTGGATCATTTTCAACTAGATAAGTGTAAAAATCATCTCCAAAGGAGGTTTTTTTTCTCTGTCTTTTACTTCTCCTCAAATCCTCATATAGGTCATCACTATTAATATTTATTGGTTGTTTAGGGGTCTCACTTATCTTTAGAGGAAAATATGTTAAAAAAACTCAACACTTTTTATCTCCACTATAGTATTATGCTCAATTACATCACTTTTGAGGATAAGAAACCTATAGACAACATTATGTTCTACATAGCCTAAGAACATGCAATCATAAGTTTTAGAGCCTATTTTTCTTTTCTTAGGATCACGTAGCATTACCTTAGCTAGGCATCCCACACTCTTAGGTATTTAAGATTAGGTTGATAACCTCTCTACAACTCATAGAGAGTTTTACCAGTTTTCTTATGTGGTATCTTAAGTAGAGTTTATTCCCAAAAGTTATCAGGTGCATTAGAACTAATAAGCATGATATTCATAATTTCCTTAAGAGTTTTATTTTTTCTCTTAACTACTCCATTAGACTCAGGTGAATATGGTGGGGTCACTTTATGAACAATATATTCTTTAACACAACCATCATTAAGTAATACATATTCATCACCTTTATCTGGTTTAATCCTTTTGATTTTCCTATTTAACTGATTTTCTATTTCTGCTTCATAGGTTAAGAACATGTCAAACGCTTCATCCTTATGTTTGATTAAGTATACTTTTGTGTATCTAGAGTATTCATTTATAAATGTTACAAAATAATGTTTACCACCTCTAGACATGGTTTGTTTTAGATAAGTTATATTAGTATGAATTAATCCTAAAAGTTCAGTTTGATGTTCTACAAAATGACAAGTTTTCTTAGTTATTTTAGATTTTATACATATATCACATTTGTTACTGTGTTTATCATGCATATTAAATAATCCTAGTCGCTGCAATTTCATAACATACGAGGAATTCACATGTTCTAATCTAGCATGCCACACATCATAAGAATCAACAATTAAGCAGAAGAACTAGATTCATTAACAATTTCAGAGATGTTAAGTATAAAAAGACCTTGATCACAATATTTCTTCTAAAAAACAAATTATTTTTTGTTATAATAATCTTAGCAGATTCGAATAACACTTTAACCCCAACTTTTACCAGTAGTGCTACAGAGATTAGATTAACTCTGAATGATGGGACATGTAACACATCACTCAAGGCCAGAGTCTTTCCAAATGTGAGCTTTAGGAGAACTTTCCTTTTCCTAAGATAGGAGTTGTCCTGGAATCATCAAGATAAACATGTTTTTCTCCATCCCCAACACTAGTGTAAGAGGTAAAAACAATTCTGTTTGCACAGATGTACCTAGTAACACCAGAGTCTACCATTCATTTGCTCACATTTTCACAAGATTTATTTGGGAAACAAGCACAATAATTGTATCTTCTCTGTCGAATAAATTCTCCTTAGGAGGATTGTCATTTCTTATTTTACGTCTGCACTAATGTGCATGATGACCTGACTTTCCACGGACAAAACAATGTTCCTTCTTCTTGAAGATGAGGTTAGATCCATTGGAACGATAATTTTTAAAATTATTTTTTCTTTCATTTTTTTCTTGTACCTTTTTGGAGTTGGTTTGTCTTCAACCATATTTGCCTTAGCTGATAACGTCTCTTATAGTAGCACACTCCTTCCGGTTGATATCTTTGATGATGATGTTCGTGATAAGATCTGACAATGACATCAGGTAGGACTATATTTTCGACTTTAATATCTTCAAGAAACTTGTAGTACTCGTTGATTTGGATCTTGATGTCCTTGTCTTCTAGCATCTCCTAACAGTAGTAGTTTCCGAGAACGAACCTTTGTCTCACAACATCTTCGACAATGTATTTGAGAATCAATAAAACCCAGACATCTTTGGCTTCCTTATAGGAAGTGTATACATCGAATAAATCATTAGACAATGCACTAAGCAAAATGTGTCTACATACCTTATTCGAATGAATCCAGTCTTCAATTTGTTTAACAGGAGTATTGGAGTCAGGTTTGGTAGTTGTAAGAGCATAAGTCACTCCATACATGTCTAACAGAGTAGAAATGCGTTTTTGTCAGTGTTGAAAGTTTTGTCTAATGAAAACTTCAATTTTTGAAATATTTGAGAACAGTTTCGCTAGGACAATTTGAGTTTCAGAAACATTGTTTGTTTTTTTCAATGTAGAGTTGTTGTTGGTATCCATACTGTCAGTCATAAGTCCTTAAGATTATTTGAAAATCTGACAGAGACACGAACAAAACTTTTTCTGAGACGTGTAAAATCATTGTCCTTAAGGCGAAATATTACGCAAGTCTCTTAGAGTACAACAGAAACTTCTCGAATTTTTTAGAAACTCATAAACTAGCAAAAAAACTCTTAAAAGAATATATAAACTCAAGATAAGAATAGAATGAAAAAGAGAGAAGAGAAGATGAGAGATGTGTGATTGATGATTTTGAAAAGTGGAGTGGAAACATCTATTTATAAGTATAGATTGGATCCAAAATCCTAATTTCCCACCGCCAAAATATTCACTAACAGTCACCTCGTCCCAATACATACGAAATTGCCATGATATAAGGAGGGAAATTTGTAACAATTAGAGGAAGACTCAATAGTGAATTTGCAACGTGGGAGAGTTGATTTTCTGTTTTTCATCTATAGAGGTTTCATAACAGTTTTTACCTTACCAATTACAAAAAAAAAAAAAAAAAGTGAGCAAGGAGAAAAAGGAAGAGAGTGTGTACTTGAAAAATGAGAGTATTTTGAGTGAGTGAGATTTCTTTGTTTTTTTCATAAATTACCGCATATGTTGTCTTTTAGTCCTAATAAAAGTTTTTTGGTCTGATGGGTTGATGGACCTAAGTTTGTGTGTCGTAATAATTTTTTTAATTAGACAAGCATGTCATACATTAATACGATGGGTTGATGGGACCATATTTACCATAGGTGGATGAATCTAATTCCTATGATATCTCTAAAATGTATCCTTTGAATCAATCAATTTGGACATTTGTGAGGATCTTAACATTTTAATGAATAAGAATAAATCTTATAAAAGAATATCCTATGTATTTAATATAAAATATTTAAGTTATAAGTATTTTTAATTTATAAATTATTTAATTTTTTCATTTTTTATTCAATATAAAATTTCATCTGTCTTGAATTTCCGTAATAAATAACTTATAATCTTAATTTGAATTTAATTTTAAAAATATTTCTATACATCAAAGAAGATCCTTTATTATGCACACAAAATACAAATAAAGGTCAAAATAACCATCCATTATACAAATAATTGGAACATATCTCCCTCATATTTAGAACTTATGGTTATAACTTTAACATAAGCGCTAGAGTAATTCTAAAATAACCAGCTTTTGATAGGAAACAGTTGTTTGGATACAAATTAAAATAATTTTTAAGCTTTTTATTAGATATATATAACTTTTTTATTGAAAAACTCTTAAAATTGTTTTAATTTTATATCCAAACATAGCTGAGCCTATAGGTGAAATTAATTAGGCTTTTGAAAGTGAATTGATCAATTTGTTGCTGAAATCCCAAAGTTTCCTTCCCAAGAGTTCGTTGGAGGCATGTGCACTTGGTTGATACGTATTACAATCCAGAAAGTACTTCCCAGATACCCCTTTCAAGCTTGGGTGTAGAGCAACAAAGCACGTTGTGGCTGCTCCCTGTTTGGACAAAATTAGAGAACAGAGACAGTTTTGATTAGTGACTCTGCATTTTGAGTATTCTCCAATGCAACATTTTGCACCTGCATTGAAATCCTAGCTAGAAGGAGAAAACAATTCGAGAATAGGGAATATACCTGCGGAATGTTCTTCCATATGAAGAAGGTAAACATCTTCAGAAAATCTGTTCGAAATTATAATATGTTCTCAGCCAAGTAAAAACGATGAAAGTAACTTTTTTTTTTTTTTATTACTATTATTGTTAAATGTATGTTTTTTCTTTGGAGAATGCACGTACTCATAAGTAATGAAGAGTGTCTCATGAGAGGAGTCATTATCACTCCTGGGTGCACAGAGTTGGCCGTGATGTTAACACCCTCTTCCTGTAATAAATGATCAATAAATGTAGGAATAAATGCTGATGTTAGGGCAAGCAAATTTAAAAAAATATTTTATTGTTTTCTCATACCATTATCATTAATGCATCTTAATTTTGTAAAAGAAAACAAATCTTAATCATTATTACTACCAAAAATTGTTTAAAAATAAAAATAAATATTTCATTATAAATTTTATATTTAAATTATTTTAAAATAAAAAATTACTTAAAATTAAAAAAAAATTAATTATTTAAAAATAAAAAAATTACTTAAATAAAAATTATATTTTAAACAACTCAACTATAAACTCATAATAACAAATTTAATTTTATTATTAAGTAACTTTAATTAAAACCTCCCTTTCCAGATCCCTTGTTATCTTACCATATCTCACAATTAGTATAGCCTTAGTTGCTCATTAATCTGTTTTAGTAGGTTCACCTGCAAGCGACGAGAAAGCTCTAATGCATGCAATATGTTGGCTAACTTGGACTGCCCGTAGGCCTTCTTGTCAGAGTATCTGAAAATTTGAACCAATATTGGAGAAAATAAATTAAATTGTAAAGCCATAGTTTTCTTCATTGTTAGAATTGTTTAACTCTGATTATACTAATTATTTTACATGTCATATAGAAACAGTCTAGATTATGTGATTTTAGATCATGTATTGACTTCATGACCCAGAGAAAGTGGGTTTGGATCAAGAGTGTCATATGCATACCCATCTTCATCATTGATGTTATCAAAGCGAATCCCTTCTTCGTAAGTGTAGACATGAGCAATTGATGACAGATTTATGATCCTGCCCTCAATTCCAGTGTCTTTTGCAGTTTGTTTCATCTTGTCAAGAAGAAGGTTCGTCAATAGGAAATGACCTGAGAAGTGAAAAAGAAAGGAGAGCTAAGACTACGGCAAATTAGACTTTCCAGATTGCTAATAAGAACCAGAAATCAGAATAGAGATTGGTTGAATTGAATCTATACAAACCTATTATGTCGTAGAAATAGTAATTAATAAAGAAAAACATGTTAAATAATGTATTGTTAACAGTTAAATATATACCATAATGATATGAACGAGTGGTGAGAAATTACCAAGATGATTTGTTGCAAACTGCGTCTCAATCCCATCTTCTGTTTTCTGGTAAGGGCAGAACATGACCCCAGCATTGTTTCTGAAACCAAATAACAGCAATGGCATTAGAATCTACATCATTGTATGGGGATACGGAAAATGGGGTCAAGTAATTCGAGTGGTTCTTAAATGAAACGAGCTGGTGTATGTTCAATGATGACATTTAACTTAAAACTACTTTGAAGAATTTGTATTTCTTACATCAAGATTCAAATTTTCAAAACTTTAAACCAAACACACAATGGTAGAGAAAATGTGTTAAAGAAAGCACATTAATATGTTGAGAGGAAGAGCAAGGGCGATGAAGCTGTCCACAAATGTTCTGACAGAGTTCACTGAGCACAGGTCGAGCTTCAATATGTCCACACGAGCTGACTCGTTCTCCTGCAGTATGAGTTGTTTGGCTTCCTTTGCAGACTCCATGTTCCTTGCAGCAATAATGACATGGGCCTTTCGAAGAGCCAAGACACGTGCTGTCTCCAACCCTATCCCACTTGCTCCTCCTGCATTTCATTCCCAATGGTTTATAGTGCAGAATTACATATCAACTTTTCACCTCAACCAAAATGGTAACTTGGACAAAACTTCAATCTACTTCTCCCACTGTGACTTACAATGTTTTCCATTATTCTACAAATTAATCAAGTCAAATTTCACTTCTCATTGAAAAGTAACACAAGTATACATGGCACCCCATGTGAAATGCCTTAAAGGAGCTACAAAACTTGATCACGCACAGTTGGTGGTGTACATCACCAATCCAACTATCCTTCTGCATTTATGTTTGGACTGATTCTCATCTAAAAGTAATTACTGCTTCATAAACGTAATTGAATTCGATTGTACTATATATAGTATCTATACAATTCTTTTTTAAAATCTGATATTTGTAAATTGATTATTACTTAAATTTTTTTCTCTATCTTTCTCCTTTTAACACTACCTGCCACCGACCTGAGATAAATGCTAGGTATTTAATAACTATTACTTTCTTCCGAGGAAGACTAACATTGCTATTGAGTTCATTAAACAGATATTTATGAATTTTACTAATATTTAAGAGTATTTACAGTCATAGGTAAATATTTGTTCAAATTTAATTATTTTAAAAAATAATAAGAATAAAACAATTAAGAAATAAATAATTTTACCACGTATGTTTATATTACAATTAAATTAATTTAAGTTAATATAACTTTAATAAATATCATTTAAATAATTTCTCATTATGAATACCTGCATACCCAACTCCTGTCTACTCGTACAAAGGACTAAATCCAATCTATAGCAGAGTTTACATATCTACTTTATTCATCCCCTAACATGAAGCAAAGGAAAATAATAATAATAGCAATATTACAAGTTCAAGGATTGTTGTTATTTCAAAAGCAGCAAAATTGAAAGCTTAATCAAGATTCACCTGACAGCATAACAAAGAAGTCAGAAATATCTGCAGACTTGAAAATATTGCTACAAATGGATAAGCAAGATGCAGAGGTAGGAACTTCGTATAAAGAAAACCATCATCAAACATTCGTACACCACAAAAATAGATCTCATTTTCGTGATTTCAGAGCAATACCGCAACAGGGTCCACAATCACAGCCTCAAGCAGCGACTATCCCTCTAACTCACGTGTTGATGCCTCGACGACTTGATTTCGATGTTTCACTCAACAAGATGGACCAAAAAAACACAAAACAAAACCAGGAGAAACGAAGACCCTGTCTCCAGCGGTACACAAATCTATTCACAAACAAATGACTAAACAGAGGACAAACATGAAGGTGGTAAAATCATGAAAACTATTTACACCACGTGAGAGTCAGAACCATAACCAGTGGTGGTGGGTTTTGCTTCGAATTTTTATATTGTAAAAAATCATAACAAAAAATGCGACTCATGCAGCCGTAATTTAGGACAGTACGGTCATACTGAATCCAAAAACCATAATGTTGTCGGTGAAACTAACAGTCTGTTTTTCAAAATCTTGATAATAACATCAAGGTTTATCAAAAGATATCATGAATGAGAGAAGCAAATAGCAAGCTAGGAATTGACGTCGTTCATAGTGATTGCAAAAACTGACCTGTGATGATTGCAGTGAGGTTGCTGGCATCAATCCCTTGAGTAACCTGTTCAGCAGTGGAGGCCGATCCGAATCCACTAGGTCCAGGCCTCCCTGTTACCAACGAAAAGATACCCACCATGGTGAACAACAATGCTAGCACTCACGAACCAACGCACACAAATAGAGAATTTGAAAATCTGTTCCAAAAGCTCAAATTGAGCTCAATTTCTTTATTTGGTTGAGATAGCGATATATACACAGAGAAACACACGCACTAGTGTTGGGGTATCCAGTGTTACTAGGACTATTTTGGTTAACAAGGTGAATGTGGGGCCAAAGGGTTTACCAAAAAGACGAGAGAGGAAAAGCATGAGTATTGAAGTTATTTATAAAAATAGGGTTTGGGAGGTTGCAGGTTGCAAATTCCCTTGATTTGGACCAAAGATTGGGTGTATTAAATTGTCACCGGTGAAGAGCTGTTGATAATTAAATTCCCTCAACGACCAAACTAATACTCAACTAGTATTTTTTTTTTATCTTGCACACGAAATTTATGTGGTCCATGCCACTATGAAAATTGGAATGAAATGGAACCCATGTGAAGCACCTCTATCTTTTCACGTTTCTCAAATCACTCTATCTTCTACTTCTGTCTTTAATCCTTAAAAGTAACGAAACTCAGAACCTTCCAGTATATGCAAACCAAACAAACCCAAACTCCTCTACAGTTTCTTTACATTTTCTTTCAGTTCATCTGTCACCTAATATTGAATTTGAGTCTCATGAAAATAAAAAAAGTCATAATCTGTAAAATTTATATAATTTTTTAAGCCAATGAAGAATTAACATTTCAAAATGAATAATTAATACTCTATGACGTACACCAGATGGTTTTGTTTCAACTTGATCAGATTAATGTCGAAATGGACCCCCACATGGTCGAAATTCAGCTCTGTATAGTCATAAAAGTTGATTACAACACAAAACTAATTTCCGTTCACAGTGTTTTAGGTTGCTTTCTAAGTTTCAATCAACACATTATATGATTGAGATATCAACTCAGTAACATGGTATGACTGATATATATAAACTCAATTCTTTCTGTCCAAAAAAGGTTGTTTATTTCTGATCTCGGTCCCTATTTTAAAAAAATTTAAGATTTTGCTGTAGATGCTTGCAATCTTTGAAATATTTTTATCATCATTCCAATATAAGTTGACTTTTATATATATATATATATATATATATATATATATATATATATATATATATATGACTGGTGCAGTTTAATGCAATGGAAGTAGGAGCAGAAAGTAGTTTAGACGTGGCACTACAGTGTAACGGCGAATTGATCGGTGGCTCACGGGGCTATAAACAATAATTTTGCAACAGCTTTTTCATAAATTTGACCCTATATCATTCAAATAGGGTTTTGACTTTTCTCAGCATTATTTGTCTTTCTCTTCATAAATTAATATTTCTCTGATTCACTTCTCGCATGTAATAAAAGAACTCACCCACACCTATTGCTTGTACATCTGTTCTATATATTAAAAAAAAATTAATAAAAAAAAACATATAAGTGGGATATTTTATAGATGTTAGTCTTCGATAAAAAAAATGTGTGATATATATAATTAAAAAAAATTTAAATGCAATTTTTATTTTATAAAACAAGTTAACATGTACAAAATTGAATCAATTTAATTTAGTGATTATTTATTCTATTTTTTTAGTTTTTTTAACTCATTAAATCATATATATATATATATATATATTACAATTCTATCTAATTAACTATAATGGATAATTTTTTAATTCCATTTTTAATAATAATAATAACTAAATATGAGATAATATAGTCCAATACTAGTGAAAACAATGTATATTTTTGATTAATCATGATGTAAAATAGAGTGGTATATTAAAAAAATGTCACTATAAAATTGTTATGTTATATTGTATATGAGAAAATCACATTATAACTTACATTAATTATTATATGTTCAAATTTTATCTAAAATTATCATTAATAATAGATAAATTATAATTACATATTTATATATTAAATTTTAAAAAAATAAGAATCATTAATCAAATTATATATATTATAATATATTTTAAAAAGTACAAATTATGTGAATTATAATCTATTTAAAAGAACTAGAGTAACGTGTTGACTCTGTATTTGCGGTGGGAACATTTAACTGGGGATGGTTGGATTTATGAGGAATGGCTATTGTGTTGTAGTGTCTCTGGATGATTATGGATCATGTCCTCTTTTTCAACTTAAAAAGTTTTAATTGTGAATTTTCATTTTTCAATATGTTTCAACGAAAGTATCAGAATTTATTATATTTTAAAAGTTTACTTTAAAACTCTATTTTATTACAACTTTATTTATAAAAAATGTTTTAATAAATTAAAATATAATAATATATAAATTTATCTTAATCTCGAATTTAAACACTGATAGATGAACCTACTATACTATACTAGAAACTTGAATTGGTTAAAGGTCTCATTCACTAGTTAGTGGTCCAACTACGTCAAATTAACAAAGAAACAAGCTGACGATAAGGACCAAAAATATTCGAAGAACCGATATAGACGCAAAAGAACAAAAAAAAAAAAAAAGCTAATGAATTGGTAGTGTAAGCATGGTGTTTGAAAATGATTTAGTCACACGTTTTTATTTTGGGAGGTTGCTTCACGTTAGAAAAGAGCAATCAAATATAACTGATGAGGTGAGAGAATGACTTGTAAAGTGTAAAGTTTAAATTTCTTTTAGCATTAGTTGAAATAGGCATGAGTTTAAATTTAATATTAGATAAAAATAAAATAAAAAAATTAAATAATGTTCGATGGTAAACTACGTGAAATTGATAAGCATATCAAATTAAATAATACATAAATAATTAATATTTAATATTTTAAAGTTTTAGATTTAATTTGATATCATATTTCTTTTATACTTAACTTAATAATATAAATAATGACATGTACTCGTAATTAAGAAATGTTGTTTGATGTTTTATTTATAAATATGTTCTCTTCAAAAACCAAATTTTAGGCTCAAATGACATACCTAAATTTGAAAAGAATGGTGATGGTGTTTAGTGCAAGTGAATTTAGTTGAGATTGAAATGCGTGACAAATTTGGTAGATTAGTTGCTTAATTGTAGTTGTATTTCAAGGTGAAACATGGGAAGCTATTCAATGTCTTTTACTTTGGTTTCATCAATGGTTAGAGTTTAGTTTGAAATCCTTTGAAAAGGTGTTTAGTGAGATAAAACACAACTATGGAATAGTGCATGAGACTTGCACAATCTCTTAAATGTAAAACCATTATCGTAACCTACTCTTGTGAGATTAACAAGTTGTGATTGAGGGTACTACTTGACATCGAAAATACTGATGTTAAGTCATTAATTATTAGCCAAAAAAAGACATAATTCAGAGCTAAAGTTTCAATTATTAAGGTAGTTTTACGTAGAGTTTATTTAGACCAAGTTTCTTCAAGTCGCAGATTGCCATATGGAGATTTTAATTATGGTCCATTGATTATGGTTTTAATTAACATCTGTCAACCATCTCATTACTAACCCCAACCACTTGTAGAGGTTAAGTTGGATTGAAAAACAATTGCTTAATCTTGAGTTGATGAAGAGATAATCTAGGTTCAGCCATGAGGGAATAAGAAAACATGTTAATATAACATGATCCAACCATATATTTACAAGTTTGTTGAAACTAAAAATAATATGTATATATATATATTTTTAATTTATTTCAAAATAACAAAATAAATTAAAATTTCAAAATAAATAATAACTAAATCATAATAATAGACCTTAATGAGAAGATAGAACACTATTTATCATTAAATTTCTTCCATACTATTTTTGAAACTTTTCGTATAAATAATGAGAAAAGGGAATAAAATGCTGCACCTTTCTTTAGGGTTTTTTTTTCCATCAATTTATGATCCCAAAATGGTGTAACTATAAATGCTTTTAAAGACATTGGAAATGGATTACTTTTCCATTTGTATCATCCCAAAGAGAAATGCTTTTCATGGCTATGGAAATCGACTTTAAACAGAAATGGCCATTCCAGAATTTTATTCCCTCGGTTTCATATACACTATAAAAATAAACATTATTTTTTATTATTTTTAATATATATTATTAAGATAAATATTATTTTTATAATTTTAAATTAATTTTTTTATTAATATTCTTATCATCTTAATTTTTTATAATAAGTATAATTAAAAAGATAATCATATAATTAATAAAAAGTAATTAATATAATCTTAATATTTATTTAAAAATAAATTTTATTAAAAAATAATTATATACTTTGAAAGAGAGAAAGTAGATGATAAACATTTATTATCGCGACTAAGATTTTCTAAAACAATTCAAAATTCATTGTGAATTTTTTTTGGAGATGGTTTGAGAAATTTAAAAGCAAAAACATTTTGAAAATAACATTTTGAAGCAATGATTTTTAAATTAAGATTTGTTTAATTTTATTTTATTTTTTAAAATACTTTTAAACATAGTTTTAAAAAAATTTGAAATATATATATATATATATATATATATATATATATATATATATATAATAACTTAGTTTATAAATTATTTTAGATGAAAAGAAATAGTATTAGTAGGGAAGAAAATTTTCGACAAAATTAGAAAATGATTTGATAATTTGATAATTATGAAAATGGATAATGTAATATAAGTGAATGTATAAATATCATTAATAAAAATAAAAAATAAAACCAAAAAATACTTATTATTAATCTTGAATTTTTAACTTTTAAAAAATGTTTTTTAAAAAATAATTATCTAATAATTTTTTCAGTTTTTAAATACTAAAACTAATTTATAAAGAATAAATAAACAATTGTTTAATAAGTTGTTGTGGGGAATATTGTTTCCAAATACCAAATCTGATCAAAGGCACACTCTTGGATCTCATCCCAAGCATCTCGGGTATATTTGACCATTTGGGGATCCATGCATCTTTCTTAGGTGGCCACTTCTAACTTGGGCTCACTCTTGGTAACGCAAAAATAATAATAAGAAAGAGACAATATCAACCAGTCGACGAAGAATTTTTTTA